CCCCCCGGCCCCGCTCCCACCTCCGACAGCGACACGGGTGCTGGCCACGGCCAGGCTGTTGCCGTTGGCCAAGGAGACGTTGAGGCAGTAGAGGCCGGACTGGTTGAAGTCCTGGCGCACAACGAGCTGGCAACCGGGGGCCGGTGCCACGGCTGAGCACGTCTGCGTCTGCGCCGTCTGGCACTCGGCGTCCGCCACCACGGTGCACACCTCCTCGGGCAGGCTGCGGGCAGGGGTCAGACCGCTGTGGACCACCCCCCCCCCAGCCCCAATGCGTGGTCCCTATCCCGTCCCTGTGCCGGGGCCACCGGCCGGAGCCCCGGCTGCCCTCACCTCCCCTCGCACGTCACCGTCAGCTCCACGCTGTTCTCGCTGCTCTCCGGCACCACCTGCACGATGGCCACACTCTCGATCCCCTCTGCAATGGGATGCGGTGTTGGAGCGGGCTCAGCCCCCCCACCCCAGCCCCCCTCTCCAGCCCCCCGGCCCGGCACTCACGGACGATGTCAAGCTGGGTGGAGAAGGTGCCGTAGCGGTACAGGATGCAGCCGGTGGAATCGGCAGCCAGTGCCTGGCGCTTCACCAGCACCAGTGGCTCGGCAGTGCTGTCGGGGGCAGCTGTGGCTCCAGCTGTTGCTCCAGCTGTGGCTCCAGCTGTGGCAGCAGCAAGGGATACAGCCGTGGCTCCCACGGTGGCTCCCACTGTTGCTCCAGCCGTGGCTCCAGCTGTGGCTTCAACCAGGGATTCAGCTGTGGATCCAGCTGTGGCTCCAGCTGCAGACACAGCTACAGATGCAGCTGTGGCTCCCGCCGTGGCTCCAGCTGTGGCTCCTGCTGTGGCTCCAGCTGTGGCTCCTGCTGTGGCTCCAGCTGTGGCTCCCACCGTGGCTCCAGCTGTGGCCGCATCTGCAGGGTAAGCAGGAGGCAGGGAAGAGGCTGTGGAAGGGCGAGGGGGGGACTGAAACCTTGGGGACCCCCCAGACATGGCCCGTCACCCCCTGACCTGGGGGGAGCACCCACCTGCAGCCACTGTTCCCTCCGTGGCTGTGGGGGCCGAGGTGCCCAGCACGTCCCCGGCTGCAGTCGCCGAGGTGGGGAGCAGGGGGTCTGCGGACACCGCAGCAGAGACGGCAGTGGGGTTGGTACCCGCGGCTCCGCCAGCAGCATCCGCCAGGGTGCTGAGCGCCACGAGGACGGACTCGGTGACGGTGGCATCTGAGGACTCAGCGACGGCGGGGTCCGAGGGCATGGCCACCGATCCCCCCGTGGGCTCCGCCGGCGAGCCGGAGGCTGCAGGTGCTGCGAGCAGAGCAAGGATGGGGAGGGCACCCCTCGCAGAGGGCACCCCTGGGACCCCCGGCCACCCAGCACCCGTAGAGATGGGGGCTGCTCCATGCTCCCTTACCAGTGCTGGGTGTCCCGGCGGTGCTCTGCCCCCCCGGCGTGGTGCCGACAGGCTGCGTGGCCGTGGGTCCCGCTGACGGCGGCGAGCCGGTGGTGGGGTCTACGACAGGGGCCACGGAGGTGCCGCAGGGGCTGAGGGGAATGGCCGCCTGCAGCACCAGGCGGGCGTTGAAGGACCCGGTCTCCAGGTAGGTGTGGGTGACGGTGGCACTGCGGGAGATGAGGGTCCCGCTCTGGTCCCCGAAATCCCAGGAGTAGGAGATGTCGGCGTCACGCAGGTAGCGGCTGGGGTCGTGCAGCCGCACGGTGAAGGCCACGGGGCGATTACGCACGAAGCGCCCGTCGCCCTCCGCCGTGTCCTGCACCTGCGCCACGTCCACCGCAAAGGGCACCTGGTCTGGGGGGGGGAACGGGACACACACACGGGGTGCCATCAGCTCACCCTCCCTGCTGGGGTCCCCCTGCCCCCCCCCCCATCCCCGGCACCCACCAGTGATGCTGAACTGGGTGCTGGCGCGGCCGATGGGGATGAACTTCTGGCGGCCGCGGTAGTGGTAGACGACCACCTCCATAGTGTAGGAGCCAAGGGGCACCCCCGCCGTGCTCACCGTCAGCTGGGACGCGGCGCCGTCCACCACCTGCCAGTAGCGCCCTGTGGGGTGGGGGGGGGGTCAGACACCGCCTCGGAGACCCCCCGGACGCTGGCAGGGGTCGGTGCCGGCCTCACCCCACGTCCACCAGACGTAGACGAATTTTCCACGCTTGCCCCCAGCGCTGGGGGGGAACGGCTGCCCGTCGGGGAAGACGCTATCCGTGCCCTCGGCTGGCTGCTCCGGGAAGACGGGTTCACCCTGGGCGACGCGGGTGCCTGCGGGGAGCAGAGGGTGAGGGGGGGGTGCGGCGTGGAGGGTCCAGGTGCTGGTGGGGGAGTTTGGGTGGGCGCTGACCGTTGACGGTGCAGTTCTGGCTCCAGACGACGCGGCCGTCAGGCAGCACCGCCTGGGTGCTGGGGAAGCGGAGGGCGATGGAGAAGGTGGCCTCGGCACCCGCCATGGTGGGAGCATCGTTGCTGATGTCGAAGGTGACATCGCCACCTGCCAGGCACAGGGACAGTGGCTCAGGGATGGCGCCGAAGGCCAGCACGGTCTCCGGCGCCCGTCCCAGCACCCACCTCGCCAGCAGTCCCGCTGTCGCGGCGTCCCCTCCTGCCACGGCCGGTACAGCCCTGAGTCCCAGCTCCGGAAAGGCGCTGGCCGCCTGCTCCAGGGCTGACTCCGACCACGGCTCCGGCCACCGGCTCCTGCGGTAGAAGGGTGAGAGGGTGCGTGTGGCACCCGGAGCACCGGCACAGGGTGGCCGCCAACCACCCCGACCGGCCAGGAAGACCCCCGGTGATGCGCTGCCAACCCCACGGGGCATCCAGCCGGGTCCCCCCCGACCGCAGGGACCCTTGGGGACCCTGGGGTCCACGTGACGGGCTCGGGCCAAGCCACGTGCAGGGCAAAGCCCATCACATGGCGTCGAATGCTGCCCAAAGCCTTTTCATGTGACTCTCAGCTGAGCCGGTGCTGGCAGCCCCGGGCAGGACGAGTTGAGCACCTTCCTCACAGCCCCCCACTTGCAGGGGGCTGCCAGGTCCCCTCCATGTCCCCCCCCATTCCAAAGGGGCTGCCAGGTTCCCCCCATGTCCCCTCACTCGCAGGGGGCTACCAGGTCCCCTCTGTCTCCTCTCCCTCACAGATGGATGGGGGTCCCCCATTTACAGATGGATGGGTGTCCCCTCCCCATTTACAGCACCAACACAGAGGGATGGGGACCCCCACAACCCACCCCACTCCTGGAGGGCTGTAAGTCTCCCCCAACATCCCACAAAGGGACGGGGACCCCACGAGCCCCCTCCGTGTACTCCAAGCAGCCCCCACCCATGGGATTAGCGGGGTCTAATCCTGCTCCCCGTGTGATTTGGCTTTGAGAGAGGGGTCCACTCCTACCAATGGACCCCATAATCCCCAGGGAGATGGGGATGGTCCCGGCGGGCGGGGGGGCTCGCGGGATCCGGGGGCTGCTGCCCCCCGGATCCCGTGAGCCTCCTCGCCGGCCGGGACCATCCTGACTGCTCCCATGTCAGGCTCTGGATGCTGCCCCCCCCCACCAAGGACCCCGAACCCTACTTACGCCGCTGAGCCGTAGCCAAGACCAGGAGGGTCCCCAGCACCGCGATCACCCCGTGCACCCTCATGGTCCCGCCGTCCTCGTCTCCCCCTACGTTCGGGCACCGCTGGGGTAGAGAGGCGAAGGGGACAGGGACGGGGGGGATATGAAGGGGTTCTCGTTTGCATAGTCCCACCCCAAAAAGGGGGGGGGGAAGGAACCTGCCCCCCCCACTTGAATTGCGTTGGGACACGTGTGTGCGTGTGTGTGCGGCCCCCCGGTCACACGCTCCAGCTCTGCCCAGGAGGGGGGTGGGAATGGTGGGGTCCTTCTTGGGGGACACAGAGACACCCCCCGCCCCCAGCTCAGGGAGGGGAATGGGGGGGTGCTGCCCCCCACTCTCAGCACTGTCTGAGTGACCCCAGGGTCACGGATTTGGCCCCATATAGATGTGACGGGGACCCACCACCCACCGAGCCCCAGGCCACCCCGGTTTGCAGGGTGGGGTGCACAGGCAGGGGGACCCCGATCCCGCACGTACACAGGGGGACCCCAATCCTGGACAGACACAGGGACCCCCACCCATTCCTGCTGGGGGGAGGGGGGGGCTGTTTCCAGCTCCCAACCGGCCCCAGCGCCAGCCCAGAGGGTCCCACCCGGGGCTGGGGGGGGTCCCCACTCGTGCCCGGCAGCCGCGTGGGGGGTCTGCGGGCGTGGGATGGTGCGTGCGGGACCGTGCCCGTGGGAACTGCGTGTGCGGGACCCCTGAGCACCCCGAAAACCCCGCGTGTCACGTGAGTGTCCCCCCCCTCCGTGATGCCTCCCCCGCCCCTGGGGGGCCGATTCTGAGCCCGTGACGGTTCCTCCGGTGCCCTGTCCCGTCCCCGCCTGGTGACCCAGCAGCGTCTCCGCCCCGGGTCCCCCCTTCCCTTCGTGCCTGTCGCTTTAAGGGATCTCCCGCGCCGCCCGCTACGACACCGCGATCCCGGCCAATGGGTCGGGGCGGGGGGGGCGTGGCCAGCGGAAGGCGGGAAGCGGCGCGGGCGGGGCC